AGTCCCACCCACCTGCTCCTTTGGGTTGGGTTGGGTCAGAGCCTCTTTCTGGCTCGAGGCTGCTGGCTGGGGTGTTGGTGAGGGAACTCACGCATCATCCTCAGGCCTCGCCTGCCCACTCCCCTCACACCTGGGCTCTGGTGCTCTGCTGCCCCCTCCCTTGGCCTGCTGAGCTGAGCTGGGGATGCCCCTTTGGCTCTGCCAGGCTGTATTTTCACACACTGGCTCAGTCGCCATGAACAATCCAGTCCAGACCGTCCCTCTGAAAGTAAATGGACAGTAGGCTTTTCTGCAATTAATAACCTGCAACTGGGTATTTCTTTGGCTAAAAATATAGTAAGAAACTGTGACATTCTTTATTTCATTTTCTTTTTGAAAATGTTTCGAAATCTGTGAACCCAAAGTGCTGTTTGGATGCCACCCCGGCTTTTACCGTCTGCCCGAGAGCTTCTCTTTCCGCGGCGTTGCCTCCAGTTGTGCAGCAGTGAGCACTGCCGGCCATTGGACGACGTCTGGGGACCGGCACAGTTTCCCAGACTTTCAGTGGGGAGGGTTCCCCAGTGCACTCCACTCAGCAAGTGGGAACCCGAGGCCAGGCAGGAGGGCTGCGCGCCGGTCTGTCTGATGGATGTCACTGTGAGCGACAGTGTTGGAGCCAGGACATTTCTCCGTCTCTCCTAGTTTAACAACAAAAAATCCCTCATTGCCCCCAGAACAGCTGTGCGCCCCACTTCCCAGCCTCTGAGGCCCTCAAGTTGTCTACAGTGTGCCTGTCTTACCTCGGGACAGCTGCCAGAGGCAGGGCTGGGGCGGGAGGTCTCCCGGCTCACAGCGGGCTCTCCGCAGGGGCAGGCTCCCTCCTGTGCCAGCCTCACTGTGCTCCCTGTGGCCAGGCATTCACACTTCAGCCCCACAGATGGGCGCCAAGTGATGCACTCCACACCCCCAAACTCACAGAGTTCTAGGCCTCTCCCACCTGTCACGGTCTGTATCTCACGCGGGGGGATGTGGAATGTGCTCATTCGGCCGAGTTCCGGAAGTTGTGCTGAAGCCTTGTGAGTGCAGGAGGCAGGGTGCTTCCTTCTGTTGCCGAGTGGAGAGACCAGCTCTGCTTCCGTTTTCAAACACCCCACAATTTTGGAGATGCTTCCAGGTGCCTGTTTTAGGTTCTCCCCTGTCATCAGAGAGGGTTCTGCCTTTCACACAGGCCTCCGC